CCTCTTCCTCCTGAGTGCTGGCATTAAAGGTATGCTCCACCATACCCGGCTCCTCTCTTTTTTTCTTTTACACAATGTCTCATGTAAACTGACTTTGAACATTGGATCTTCCTGCCTTCACTGCCCAAGTGCTGAGATTATAGACATGAGCCACACAGCAAGGCCGGGTGGAGATGCAGATACTCCCAGGGTCCAGTGCTGCCTCCCAAGAAGAACCAGGGAATGTCCTGAGGCTTCAGCAGGCTTTGCCATAGCCAAAAAAAATCACCTCTGAAAAGGACTCTGGCTCTGAGATGGGGTCTGACAAGGGCAGCATGGCTATTTTTATCGTTTTTACTCTTTAGGAGTTTGTGACCTTTTGCTTTTCAAAAATATTCTGAGACCAGACTTGGTGGCACACACTTTTGATACCAGCATCCAGGAGGCAGAGGCAGGAGGATCTCGGTTCAAGGCCAGGCTGCCTAATCTATATAGTGAGTTCCAGGATACCTAGAGCTACATACGTACTGAGATCCTGACAAAAAACCTTCTAGAAGATGAGAGACAGCGTTTTCTTGTTGGTGGTAGTTTTTTGTTTGTTTGTTTGTTTGGCTGGTTTTGTTTTGTTTGTTTGCTTGCTTTTTGGTTTGCTTTGTAGACCTGGCTGGCCTCCAACTCAGAGATCTGCCTGCCTTCCTCTGCCTCCTTAGTGCTGGGATTAAAGGTGTGAGCCACCACTCCTGGCTCAGGATGACAAGTTTTCACTGTGCAGTTCTTGTGTGTGTGTCACTATGCCTGGCTCCTGGGGAGATCTGTTCTTAGAGGTTTAAATCTGATTTACAATCTGAAGCTTGAGAAAAATGAAAGGTGGGGGAGGGGGGGAAGCGCAGGCAAACTATGTGAATTTGCTGACCTCTAGTGGGCAAGCGTGGATTTTGACTATAGGCCACAGTGGACTATAGTACTGACTATAGTGTTTAAATGTTATTAACCCCGTACACACAAAAGGTGACTATGTGAGGAGATAGTATATTAATGCGACTACTTGGCTGCAGTAATCATTTCACTTTGCACGCGGGTATCAAAACATCATGTTGTATGCTTTAAAACACGTATAATAAAAATATACATTTTTTGCCGGGCGGTGGTGGCACACACCTTTAATCTCAGCATTCCGGAGGCAGAGGCAGATAGATCTCTGTGAGTCAAAGGCCAGCCTGGTCTACAGAGTGAGTTCTGGGATAGCCAGGGCTACACAAAGAAACCCTGTCTCAAAAAAAAATTTTTTTTAATACACTTTTTGAGTCAGACACATTAGAATATACACATTAGCACTGGAGGAGCTGTGCTTGGCATGTGTAAGGCTCTGGGTCATTCCCAAGTATGATGTACACAAGTACGTACACACATACATGCACACATTACAACGTTAGTCAAGCCCGAGTGAATTCACACCTACAATCCCAGCATTTGAGAGTCTGAGACAGGAGGATTCCCAATTGCAGGTGAGCCGGGGACACCAAGCAAGACCATATCTCAAAATAAAAGAGACAACTTCGCCATTAATATTTTTGCTTTAAATAGATCCTTCAGGGCTGGAGATGTAGCTCAGTTGGTAATGTGGTCACCAAATTCGTAAAGCCCTGGGTTTGACCCCCGGCCCCCAACTCCATATAACCAGGTATGGCCACTCATGCTTATTATCCCAGCACTTAGGAGTCAGAGACCTGAGGATTAGGAGTTCAAGATCACTCTCAGTTACATAGTGAGTCACACACCAGCCTGGACTACCTGAGACTCTGCCTGACACACACACACACACACACACACACACACACACACACACACACAAAGAGGGTATCCATTATTTGGTCATTTAGTGTTAGTTTTAGTTATTTAACTTATTTTTACACTTTACTCTATTTTGTTTACTTGTTTATTTGTGAACAAACCATTCTGTTCAGAAATTTGAAGTGCGCTGGGTTTGAAGAAAAGGTTGACGAGGTCAACAGGATTTAACGCACTAGAGCTTGGCAAGGCAAATCTCCCTGGCTGGTCAGGGCTGAAAGCCCTTTTAAATTATTATAGGCAGGCAAAGAAGAGCAGCCATAGAGTCTTTATAGTGCCGGGTGTTGTGCCAGTTACACGTACTGGAAGCGCAAGGGTGGGATGCTCAGGAAAAAAAAAAAAAAATCTGTTCTGTTTGTTTTTTCAGATGATGTGATCGAAACCTTCACAGAAGATCCTAGTAAGTCAGCCCGGATTGGGGGTGTTTACCCACTACTACTGGGGAGGGGAAGGGCTGAGAGTGAGGTCCGTCCAGAGAAGAGGTGCCACCGGAGCTCGCTCGCTCGCTCGCACAGCACCCTTTTGTCTTTCTTCGTGGCCGCCATCACTCCAGAGTCGCCCAGCCTTAGTATCCCTCCCTTTCTCTCTGGGATGCCCCTGCAGCGGGCTCGTCTGGCCCACGTGGCTTCCCCATGTCCCGAAGGCCTGTTCCTCCTCTCACTTTCCGTCTGTCCGTCCGTTTTGTGTCTCTGCAGATCTGGTGAACGACCCTGCTACAGACGAAACAGGTGACGTTCGCTGACGCTCCCAATATTCATTCCAGCGCCTGGAGAGTTAATCTCCTATTTTTAGCTCTGGAAAAGGGGGGTTTGTGGGCGTGTCCTTGGGGGGTTGTGGGCGTGTCATTCAGTGACTGACAGTTATAAAAGGAGGGAGAAGCTTGCTAGTCCTCTAAAAGGAAGGAACAGGGCTGACCTGCAAAGTAAAAGGTAAAAGGAGAGAACAGACTCCCCAAAATTGTCCTCTGACCTCCATACACATGTGCTGTAACATGTACATACACATCTGTGCACATGTGGGCACATACATACACAAATTAAACGAACAAATGTGGAAAAAAAAGAGGGAACAATGTAGATCAATAGCTAAAAATAAGACCTATATGGCGCACGCCTTTAATCCCAGCACTCAGGAGGCAGAGGCAAGCAGATCTCTATGAGTTCGAGGCCAGCCTGGTCTACAGATCGAGATCCAGGGCAACCAGAGAGATTCTGTCTTGAAAAACAAAACAAAACAAAAGACCTGTATGGGGCTGGAGAGATGGTTTGTTGCATTTTTAAAATGGCAAGAAGGAGTCACACCATACAATAGGGCCCCCATGGGAGTTTTATTGGGGAGAGAGGAGAGAAAGGGACAGAAACAGAGACCGGTCCCTGGGGATGAGAGCAAAGGAAGAGAAAGAGGCAAGAGCCAGGCAGGGCCTGTCTTTTATAAGGGACCCTAGCAAATGCACACAGGGGGTGCTCTTAGTGGCTGCAGCTGAGGATGTATCCTGTCAGGACCCTAAATGCTAACATGGTTCAGCAGTTAGGAACACTGGCTGCTCTTCTAGAGGACTCAGGTTCAATTCCCAGCACCTGCATGGCAGCTCACAACTGTCTGTAACTCTAGTTCCAGGGGTTCTGACACCCTCCCACAGGCATACATGCAGGCAAAACACCAATACACATTAAAAAAAAATAAAAAAAAAAACCTGTATACTAAATATATCCAAAGACAAATATGTTGAGAGCACCAATATGCATCCCAAACCATCCCCAGTTACTTGAAATCATTCTCCTCCCTGGACGTATACCTTGTTGATCTCACCACACTCCCTTGTCCTGCTCCTCCTTCCCCTCGAAATTCAAGGCCCTGCTCACACCTACTATTTTGTGCCTTTTCAGTTCTGGCTGATATCACACCTTCCACAGATGACCTGGGTGAGTTCAGATCTGGGATCCCAAGGCCACCAGGGCCATCCTGGGCTTTCCCCAGAGCCCATACAGAAGGCAAGGCAGCTGCTGAAGTCTCCTAAACAGAACTACAGTTGGTGTAATACATCCTTCCAGCCATTTTTTTTTTTTAATTAATGGTAGTTTTGAGCCCTGGCAAGCAGGAATTGTGCAGTTCAATATACAAAATACAGAGACGAGGTCTTTCAATGTTTCCAAGACTCGGTGGGTAAAGGCGAGATAAATCTGCAAGCCAATGTGAAAGGGCAAGCAGAGGGTGGCATGTGAGGAAACCGGGCTTTTTAGAGAACACGAAGTAGGAAAGGAGATGGGTTCCTTTCTGCTGTGTTCCTAGGGTGCTGACCCTCACACGTGCCGGGCGAGTGCTCCAACGCTGAACCGCACCCCATCCTATGTGGTTATTTTTGTGTGTTCTTTGCTTTTTTGTTTTGTTTTGAGACAGGATCTTTCTCTGTAGCCTGGCTGGCCTGGATCTCACTCCATAGACCAGGCTGGCTTCAGATGCTCAGAGATCTGTCTGCCTCTGCCTCCTGAAGGCTGAGGTTGAAGGTGTGTGCCATAATACCCAGATGCCTAGGTTATTTTTTTTTTTTAAACAAATAGTTTGGAAAGCCAGCTGCTCTGTGCCGTACATGTAAAAGTGAACAAAAGTGAATTTCTTCTATCAGATATCTTTTGTCCGGTAGACAATAGGTCGTGTGTTGTTATCGGGTTCCACAAAATGCTCTCAGTGGGATAATCAAAAGGCTGCTGTGAGAGACTAGATAGAGGTGTTCCTGACTGTGCTCAGTGTGGGGATCAGGGAAGGGTGTTCCGCGGGGTTCCACTGACTGGATGCTTTTCTTGAAAGGCGAGTGGGTGACTGAGTCAAGTCAGCAGGAGGGGCTCCCTTCCAGGGGAGGACTATGAGTGTAAGAGGCTTAGGATGCGAAGGAAAGCCTGAAGGAAGCCTTAGGTGAGGGAAGGTGTTAGTCAGGTTTGTGCGCTGGGAAAATCACCCTCACTTTCACTACCCCAGCCCACGGCTGCTCCCCAGTTTGTGAACCCAGAAAGAGAAGGGGTTTAACCCCAAGCAGCCTGGAACAGTCATCCCACTGAAGGATGGCCTGGACAAAGGCCAGGTAAATGGGAATGGAATGTCAGCTGCAGGCCAGAGAGACAACGGCCAGTCTCCAGCCATGCTGAGTGGCTGGTGACGCCATTCACCTGAAGAACAACCCAAACTGGTAGTGGCTTGCTGAATATGAATAAAAAAAAGACCTGTATAAGACACTGGTTAGACCTGTGTATTCACAGCTTCAGGAATGAGACCTGAATGAGAAACAGGACTGGGAATTAGTCAGCACAGGGGTGGACCTGACACACACGTGGTGGCTCCCAACCATCTCTAACTCCAATCCTAGGGAATACAGTGCCCTCTTCTGGCCTCCTCAGGCACTGCACACGTGGGATATACATGCAGGCAGATACCTATACACATAAAATAAAAGCAAAGTTTAATTTTTTTCAAAGAAGAGAGAGAAAGCATGTAGTAGATGAGGTTATCTAGTCTCTGCCTGCTTTTCTTTCTATCAAGAACTCCTCCAGTGACGTCATCCCAGATAACTCTCCTGACCATCTGGTTCTCACCCCTCTAGCTCCTAACTGGAAGCTGGGTGCACATTAAACTTACACCTAGGTCAGTGTGGGCTATGAGCCTGGCCCCTCCTATTCTTTACCCCAAACCTCTCATCAAAGAGGCTACGGTAAGGAACCTCCTCCATTGAAGAGACCTTGTCTGGGGAGAGGCTCCTACAGGGCAGTGGTGCAGGTCGTCTGAGTAACAGGGCCCTTTGTCTATGCTTCCAATAATTTGCTAGTTGCTGCTAAGAATGGTGGTATATGATTGCAAACCCAGCCACCCAAGAGGCTGAGGCAGGAGAATCACTTAAGCTCAGAGGTTTGAAACCAACCTGGGCCACATAGGGAGACCTCCCAACTCTTTAGAAAAATTTTGTTTTTGTT